TGGGATTTTTCCTGGAATCCTAAAGGGTTTGGGTTGGGAGGGCATTGAAGGGCCTGAGCAGGAGCTGGGGAAGGAGGACAAGCAGTTCTTTTTGTGCATAGATTAAATCTGAATGGTTTAACTGAATGACAGAGATTCTCAGCCCAAACCTGCAGTCTAAATACTGAAAATTGCATTTCTGGTGGATTTTGTAGAAAGGATAAAGGAACCCCTGAGGGAAGGGCAAACCTCCAGGAGTGGAGAAGCCCAGGCAGTGGTGTGGCAGTGTCTTCTCCCTCTCCCTGAGCACACAGGGGCCATTGCCAGTGTCTGGAAATCCATGTCCCAAAAAACAGAATCCCCTGAGCTGCAGCCATCCATAGCTGTGTTGGTTCTGGGACCACTGAAGAGCTCGGATGGCAATTGTCCAGGCTGGGAAYGAGATTTCCTGCTGGAAATCTCAGCTCTGGGGGACACGAGGAATAACGGGGGCTATCACAAAGAAAACTTCGAGCTTCAGTGCTGAAGTGGCTCTCTTTTTCCCCACTCCAGGCAGATTTTCTCCCTTGCTGCCCCCAGGCCATCAATCCCCCAGCCTCCAGCTCCTCGCCCGCCGCACACACGGCTCCCAGCCCACTCTGCTCCCGTGCCTCTCCCCGCGGCTTTGTTTCCCTGGAGTTGGGGCTGTGTGCTGTGCGTGCCCTTCCCCATCGAGCAGCTTTGTTCTCAGGCACTCTGAGCACCTGGGGTGGCCGTGCTGTGTTTCCACGAGTGCCTGCCTGACAATGGGAGATAAAGGAAAACAGGCTCTTGTCGAATTATTCCCCTGAATAAAGGGGGCTCTGCAGAAAATGAAGCATTGATCCTATCAACTCTCGGCTGCAGCACCCTCAGTTAGATCTCTTACACACATCACACACACCTGCATCAATGGGAGGAAAAGAGGCATTTGAAGATCCAGCCTTTAAAAAGAAATTGAGTCAGTTTAGTGCTTGCTGAAGTGCGGTGAGGTGCCTGGTCCCAGCTGTCACTCGCTGGGGCTCGGGGCCCTGCAGAGTTTCCCAGATGGCAGGGCCAGGCTGTGGAGTGCTCCCCCTGTTCCCAGCTTTAGCTGCACTCCCTGCCTTGGAGCCTGTGGTTGTTTTCATGGGATTGGATTAATTCACTGAATTTTAGGCACTTAAAAAGTAAGGGCATGGACTAAACGAAGCACCTGACATCTGTCAGCAGGCACAGGCAGAAGGAGCTGYTTTCTGGGGGGGATTTATCCATCCTAGAATTTTCAGTGCTGTGTGTCCTTTTCCCTCCTCCCTGCTCTGTTGGGGTGTCAGCTCTGAGCCTCTGCCTGCCCAAAGGTGGGGTAGGAACCTGTTGCTCCCTATCCAGCTCTCCCAGCATGATCCAGAAATGTTTCCTGCCCTCAGACAGTGGAGCTGGGGTGTGGTGTGTCTGCTGATCTTCACTTTGCAGCCCCTGCAGTTCTGCTCAGGGATCCAGCTGCAGTTTTGTGAAGCAGGGCACTGGAATGCCCAGGCTCAGTCTGGCTGCTCCTCTGGAGGAGGTGAAGCCACCAGTGGCTGCTGCTCCATTGGCATCTTCCTGCCATGGAGTCTGGATTGACTCAGGCTCACCCTGTGTCCCTGAAAAGTGTTCAGCACTTGTGTCTGGGATTTCGAGAGCCAATTTGAATTTTTTGGGGCTGCAAGGTCAGCCAGGGGCTGGTTGTGCAAAGGTTCCGCTTGCAGGAGTGCAGAGGCTGTTTGGGTGTGGTACATGATGGTTCCTGCTCATTCCCATCATGGAATCCCCCTGGTTTTCCTGTGTGGGGTGGGTGAGTCTTGAGGCGACATCATGGCCAAAAAAAAAAAGATAAATAAATGGAAACTGCTACCTTCAKCTTTCCCCAGCTGTGTATCAGAGATCTGGGACAATTTTTCCATTGCTGACTCTTTCATACATGTGTTCCTGGAGGACTCAGGACGAAGCTGACACTTCTTGTGTCTGCGAACACATCTTCAAAATGTCTCCTCTCTGCCAGCRCAATGTGCAGCACAAAACTGTTTCTGCAGCAGTGGAGACAATTGGGCTTTCAGAGAGSAGGCAGGCTTTTCTGGGAAGTTGTTTAATTTTATTTTTTTTTTCCTTGTGAAATGCTGGATCCTTTCTCATTTACACGGGGAGCAGAGGGGGATGGTGACAAACGTTCTGTGAGCTGATGCTGGCCTTGTTCATGATCATTATGGAAAAGCAGCCTGGAGGGTTTAGGTGTGGAGGGAAAGGTCCAGAGGGTGACCTCTATCTCAGATGAGGAGCTCAAGGTCAGTGTGGTTTAGGGCTGCAGCTCCTGCTGGATCTGGCTGGCTCCCCACACATCCTGGGGAGACACCTGGGCTAAAGGATGCTCCTAAAGCCTGTTCCCTGGCAGGAAACTGCACGAGGGATTCCCTGTGCTCCTGATGAAGCTGTCTTTGTTCATGCTGGACCCTCTGAGCCCGGGAAGGAGCCGGGAATGAGCCTAGAATGAGCCGGGAAGGTGCGATGATGCTCGGTGGATGCTCGGTGCGATGCTCGGTGCGATGCTCAGCCCGGTGCCGATGCGGGGGACGCGGGGCCGTSTTTCAGCTGGCCCCCTTTTGTCTCCCAGCGCGTTCCAGCAGGGGGTGGAGAGGTGGAAATGCCATTTCCTTGCTCTCGGGGAGCGTGTGCCGAGCCCGCTGACCCCCCTGCAAATTGAAATAATGATAATGCGCGTCTCCTGACTGCATCAAAGTATCAGCACATCAAAAGCCAGGAGGCATGAAATGCAAATGATAAAGTGAAAGCAGATGGATTGTGCATGATCGCCTGATGCCCAATGAATTTTAAAAGATGCTGGTTCACATGGGGAGAGGGGCTGAAATAAACACGTTATCCCTGCAATTTTTT